TACACATCCATCCAAGCTGTCACAAAGGGTGAAATTTTCTTCTTTTTTATGTCCAAGTAGTAGTTCATTGTGTAAATGTGCTATGATTGTTTTCTCCACTCATTTATTGATGGCACTTGGGCTGCTTCCATATCTTGGCAATTGTAAATAACACTTCAGTGACCATAAGATGCATATATTCTTTTGAATTAGTGTTTTGAGTTCCTTTGGATATATTCCTGAAAGTGGAATCACTGGGTCATAAAGCAATACCATTTTTGATGGTTTGAGGTCACTTCATACTGCTTTCCACAGTGGCCACACCAGTCTGCATTCCCACCAATAGTACACAAGGGTTCCCTTTCTCCATGTCCGTGCCAGCACTTGTAGTTTGTTGATTTATTGGTGACAGTCATTCTGACAGGAGTGAAGTGGTATCTCATTGTAGTTTTCATTTGCATCTCTCTGATAATTAGTGATGTTGAACATTTTTTTTCCTATGTCTATTGACTATGTGTGTGTCCTCTTTGGAGAAGTGTTTATTCAGGTCATCTACCCATTTTTCAATTCGATTGTTTGTATTTCTGGTATCGAGTTGTATATGTTTTTATATATTTTGTAAATTATCAGATGTATCATTGGCAAATATGTTCTGCCATTCAATATGTTTCCTTTTCATTATGTTGATAGGTTTTTTTGCACAGCAAAAGCTTTCTAGTTAGATGTAGTTTCATTTGTTTTTTTTTTCCTTTGTTTCTCTTACCCAAGGAGATAATTGGAAAAAAAATTGCTACAAAAGATGTCTGAGATTTTACTGCCTATGTTTTTCTAGGATTTTTATGGTTTCATGACTGACAATTAAGTCTATCATTCATTTTGAGTTTGTTCTTGTGTATTGTATGAGCTGGTGATCTAGTTTCCTGTTTTGTATGTACATATCCAATTTTCTCTACTTCATTTATTAAAGAGACTGTCTTTACTTCATTGTACGTGCTTGGATCTTTTGTCAAGTATTAATGTACTAGGTGTTTTGTTTTTTCTAATGCCACACCTGAATCACCAACTATGCCTGGGGAGTTAGAAGAGGGCAACCTACGATGTCTGATTGCTGTGTTCTTCCTTCTGTCCTCAGGTCCCGAGCCAGGGTGCCTTTCTCTTCCATCTGTCAGAGTCCTCCTTTATAGCTGGTGCAGTCTTAAAAGGTCAGAGTTGTACTGAACACAAAGTCAGAAGAGATGACTTTCTGTCATCTTGTCTTGACAAGCTTGGGTTTGCATTTTAGTACCTGTGTTCTGTTGGAGCTCAGACCAAAGCTGGTGCATGCTGGTGCTTTCAGTGGGCCTGACCCAGAGCTGTTGTTAAGTACTAGTGACCACACGTGGAGATGATTTTGAGTCGTCTGAGTTGGCAGGGTAAAGCAAAGTGCAAGGGGTCTATCTCACCCTCTACACTGCACACCGCACCTTACACTGACATCTGAGGCCTCCGGCCACTGGGATCACATGGTCCTGTCAGTCTGGTGTAACAATGCACATCTTTTTGATCATGTTGACAGTACTGGGCTGTTTAAAATATCTCTAAACCAATGGAATTCTGTCAGTATAGCATAGTTTAGGCACTTAATGCATTTCCTGGCTAGGTGATTTGTTTCAATAGTGAAAAAAATGTTTGAGTTCTCAAAAGTTTGGGTTCTTTTTGTCTTTCAAATCTCTAAATGTCCCGCACCCACCATTTCCTTTCACTTTAACGCTTACTTGCCAAATAGCACTTCTTCCTTTTTTGCTCACAGAAGTTCTGTATTTTAAATTGTACCTTTAATCACATCTGTCCTTTTAAAATGTCCTTGCCTCTTTGTATTAGGTTCCTATGGCCACTGAAACCAATTGCCACACATTCATGCCTTAAACAACACAGGTTTATTATCTCGAGCTCTAAAGGTCAGAGGTCTGCAGTGGGTGGGCAGGATTGGGCTCTCCCTGGAGGCTCTAGGGGAGAATCCAGGTGCTTGCCTTTGCAGCCCTAGAGGCTGCCTGCACCCTCTGCTGAGGCCCCACAGCACTCTGAGCTCTGGCCCTGTCATCACATCTCCTTCTCTGGCTCATCTGCCTCCCCTTTCACTTAGCAGGATCTGTGAGTACATTGGCTCCACTTGGGAAACCCTGAATCATTTCCCCATTTCACTTCTTAATCACTACAACTATATCCTTTTGCCAGGAAATGTAACACAGTCACAGATTATGGGGATTCTATGCTGACCCTTTTGTGCAGACTTACTTTGAAGCCTTCTCCTATGGTCTGTGCTCTGATCTCCAGGACACTCTGCAATATTTCAGGGTTAGGGTGGATTCAGTATTGGTGGTGGTGCATCCCCAGTAGCTCTCAGCCCCTCTGCTAGCTGCCCTGTGCCTTGTGCCTGAGTGAGGGTGGGAAGGTGCCACATGGAAGACTTTGCACTGGGATTTGGTGAATTTTATACTTTGACTCAGTTATTTTGATGTTTTCACATTTTCTTTTTAAGTAATACTGTGAACCAGTTGTATGTAGGGTTTACTTTCCCTTTTTGTGTTTTTCCCTTTGGTTTGGAGAGGCCATAGTTGCAGTTAAGTAGCTGTGCTGCTGCCATCATCCTAAGCTGCCCAGAAGGGGCCTGAGGACTGTTGAGTGCTTGGCCCATGGGCCCCTCTCTCTGCGTCCCCTATTTCCCCATCAGAGTCTTGCTCTAGCTGATAGGGCCCATTGAAGTGGAGGATTCAAGATCCTCTACAGCTCTGCTACTCTTTGAATTACGTCCTTGGCCCAAATATCAGCTTGTTCTGCCCTCTGGCTCTAGAAGAAAAGAACCTGCAATGTTCTATAGAACTCTTCTGACTCACACTTAACCTTTGCCTTGTAAGTAATCATGCTTAACTTCTCATTGTCTTTCTCCAAATGATTGATGCCCCAGCAACAGCTATCCAAGTGCATAATGCTTATAATTACCACTTCCCAACTAACTTCCTAATGACCAATGACAATATATTCCCTTTCTCTGCTTAGAACAGTGCAATTCACCAAAAAGGAAAATATTAACAGTTACGCCCATAGGGCCACTTGGGGCTCACCCATGCTCCACCTCCCACCAGAGCTGGGTCCTCTTGACCAGCCCACTAATGAGTGATCTGGTTTCTAATTTGCATTTTAGAGTTTGTCCTCCAGAGGGCTCCCAGACTTATTCCTATAGGTCATTTTCCCTGGGAAGCAGACTCTGAATGGACATAAGAGTGTGGGAAGCTCACTGTGGGGAGCTGTCAGGGTCCACATGCCTGAGGGAGTGAAGGAGCAGGAGTGGGAGCTGCTGAACTGCAATGCAGGCTCCAGAGTTGGCTGCTCTACAGGGGCCTGGACAGAACGGTCTTTTAGAATTTTTTAAATGAAGGGGAGAAGGCTGAGCCTTTATACTCCTAGTTTAGCCAGTTCTCTGACCTGGGCTGCCCTCTAGGAAGTGGTGCAACCTTGGCAATGAAGCTCTCTTCACCTGAGGGAAAGCCCCAGGGAGCTGTCAGCTGGGAACCACCATCCTCCACCACCACAGCGGAAAAACACTGAGGCTTCCAATCCTCTATTAAAGATTATGTTAATCATAAGAAATTGCTTTAATATCTTTATTTTTATTTAAACCAATACTGCTCATTGTAACTCTACAAGTGTGCTTTCCCAGATGCAGCTTTCCGTGTCCAATAAAAAGATGTCAGCTGACATCATGACTGAATGATGTCTGAAGCCCCTCTCAGGGGGGCTTCCCTCGGAGGGGAAGCCTTTACAAAACTCTCAAGAGTGGAAATGCTCAGGGTGCTCCAGTAGCTTCAGCCAGACTGGGATGGGTGTGGGTGGGGCTTTAAAAAATGCCACAGGAAAATCTAGGCCTGATTTAAAAAAGGGTGCTGGGACTTCCTACCCGGAGCAGCGGCAGCATGGGAGGCCTGTGAGGGAAGCAAGAACCGGGAACAGGAGTGGGCACTGGAGGCAGTGGACTGAAGTATGTGGGGGAGGGGGGGAGCCCCAGTGGGTTCCTAATGAACCCAGAGGGATCTAAGAAGAAACATTTTGTAGCAGTCACTTGCACATATAGTACCTCAGTGACACGGGCATGTATTGTTCCAGGGCTTTCTACAAATTCATGCACTTAATTGCAAAGCTGGAGCCATTATTATCTCCTTTCACAAAGGCTGAATCCAAGGCACAGAGAGGTAAATAACTGCAAAAAGTCACACAGCTTATGAGTCACAGAGCCAAGATTTGACTTGACTCTGGGCCTTCTGCTTCCAGCATCCGAGCCTTTCACTCTGGTGCCTGTTTCCTTAGCTGTTCAAAAGACACTAACAATGGTCCTTCTATCACAGAACTGTCTGTCCCCAGGTCAATTAAAAAGCATTTCCTTCATCTTTTCAAGGAATTCACAGCAAATTATTTAAAATATATAAAATGATGAACACAGATTCTGGTGCTGAAAACTTTGGAAAAAAATGTCAGCTCTAAAAATATGTGGTCACATACTTCACTATGAATAAATGAGCTCCATTAGAGCAAAGTCCCGTGTCCATTCTTCAACGTCCCTGAGAATGGAGAGGAGGCACTTGAGAGCAACATCTTCACGGCTCACAGCTCACTAATTAACAAGTCATATAAAAGAAAGAAAAAAAAGCTGCTGGATGTCAGACTATGTCACTAAAACCAGTTTCTGTTAAGAACAGAGACATCCTTACCAAGTATACACTGGAAGAGCCTAACGTTATTTACGATGTAGCAGTGGGTGTTCCCACACTGATAAAGAGTAGAAAGAAGGCACTGGCTCATCACCTGCACTAGACACAATGTATTTAAAAGAGAAAATAATCTGGGATCTTATTAAAAAGTATACTGACTTCTAGGGTTAATTTTGTTTTAACTTAAGATACCTCACATTTAGAAAAGCATGATAACAGCTGGTTATGAGATGACATCAATGCTTATTTCAGAAGTTAATGACTACAAAAATGCCAAGATGTAATAGACAAATATTTATTTCAATATGCTTTTGAAAACACATAAAGTAAATGTAAGAGGTAGAAAGAAAAAAGTAAATCCATTTCAAAGTAAGAAAAGACCGATACTTTTAGTCTTGCTTGAAAAAAACATCATGGAGTGGCAGATTTGGTCTTTTCAGGTTCCAGTTCACCTCTCTCATCCCACCCCTGGAAACGAGAAGGGACCTATGACTGAGGCAAATCTCTCCTGTGTGTCTCAGTAAGGGTTGCAAGTGGAAGACATCTGGTGATGCAAATAATTATAACATGCACAAGCCTTATAAAGTGGAGTTTTTCGATTCTCATTCTCATCTTATAATCCAAACAATTAGGCAAATTTTAAATTAAATAGTTATAAAGCCACAAGTCAACATATCACAACTTAATCATCCACAGCCCATCAGGACTCCACTGCTCCAGATCTGGGCTCCCCTTCTTCCTCCACTGCGAGGTGTTTCCCTCTAGTCCCTCTCTTTCCTCCTTTCTCCCCACTGTGTCCTTTCCTGGGCTCCCCAGCTCTTTCTCCGCTGTACTCTATTCCTTCCCACTACCTGTTCAGCGAAACTCCTGAAACCTGTTTCATTTGCAGCAGCACTTTCTCCCTTAGCTTTCTCATTGTTCCCCATCTCCCTATATTTCTGCCTCTTTCTCCCCCATCCTTGTGTCCCCTCTGCTTCCAGCTACCTTGTCCTTACGATTACACCCGCCCCCGTCTGCCTGACTCGCGGGCGCCCCCACCTGGCTAAACTCTCAGAGCTGTTCCTTCCTCGGTCCTGTCGTCCCCACCCCCTTTCCTGTTCCTGCACTGGGCTCCTCCGACCCTTTTTCTCCAAACTCTCGTCGTCTGCAGGGCCTTGCTCTTTGTGACCCTAACTTCTTTCTGCTCAGCAAGGGCTCCTCTCCCTTTCGTCTCCCTCAGCTTCTCCCACTCCTCCACGGTTCTCTATTTTCTTTCCCGAGTTACTCTTCCAGTTACTGTCCTCTACAAGCCCTCTCCCATCCTCAGGTTTGCGGTCCCCTTACGGACCCCCTCACTGACCTTTGTGCCCTTTCACTGCTCCACTGCTTTCTCATTCTCTCTTTCTCTTGACCCCCTTCTCCCCCGTGTTGGGCCTCTTTCCTTGCCTCCCCCCTCACAGACACCGCTTCCACAAAGCCACTCACCGCCGGGCAGGTGACCGCTTCTTGGGACACCCCTGTGCTTCAGTCCAAAACCCCATCTCACTGACAAGTGTGCTCTTCCTTGGCAGCCGACTCTTACGTATTAAACGGGAGATGGGGGGCGTCTCCGGAGAAGTTGGGGGAGAGGTCTGCAGAGCCCCTCTGGGGAGGGAGGAGTCCGAGCCTCTTCACGGGGAGAACTGCAGGGCCGAGGGGGGCAGGGAGGAGGGGGAGGGGCGTGCATAGGGTGTGAACCCATCCCCCAAGACTTTGAGGGCGCGGAGCGGGATGGCTGGCCAGGAAGGTGTTTAGGCAGGAAAACTGCGCGGCGGGTCGTGTCCCATGGCCCGAAGACGGAAAGACCACAGGCAAGGGCGGCTCAGAGAGAGCTGAACCAGAAACTAACGTGGACTCAACCCGGCAGCGAAGTCCTCGGCATCCGGACGCCTCGGCGGGACGCAAGACTTACTTACCCCTGCTGGAGGGGCAGGTTTGGGGATTTCAAGGTCCCTCGCGACCCCAGGCTTCCTGTGTGCAGAACTGTGGACAGAGATGCTCAGGTTTAAATGACAAAGACCGAAAGTCGCCAGAGTGATCTTTCCTCCACGCTATCCGCTGAAAGAAACTGCGGGTGCGCGCTGCGGGACCAGAGACCCCGGGGCTTGGGCTCTGCAAGGGCACCCGAGGGCCGGCCCCCACCCCCGCGCCGATTGAGACCCAGGGGGTCTGCGGAGACCAAAGTAGGACAGCGCGGGGCCGGGCTGGAGGTTGAGAGCGAGAGGGCGGTGCCTGCGTCTGTAGGGTGAATGGATGAGGCAGTGCTCGCCGAAGTGGCGAGGCCGCTGGAAATGTGGTGCTGCCTGTGGAAGGGTGTGGCAGGGCCCGCGGGAAAATGTGGTGTGACAGCCTCAGCAGGGTGTTTACTGCGGGAGGGTGGGATGGGGTGCGGTGGGTGGGGGTTCTCCAGAGGACGCCAACGACAGCGCCTAGGTAGGAAACGCTGAGCCCCCAACTTCACTTCTCTTGTCTCTCAGGTTGTCTGAGTCCTGAATCTGTTCCTTTCTTTTTATTTATTCATTTATTTTTAAATATATTTTATTGTATTTTGCCATTACCGTTTACCCTCCTTATACTCCCCTGCCCATAATCACCGCACTGACGTCCAGTGGCTGAGTCTTTTTTCCTGTTTGCTGGATCCCTCCACCCGCTAATCTCCCCTCCCCCTTAGCTGTCATCTGCTCTCCCTCTATGAGTCTGTCTCTGTTTTGCTCGTTCATTCAGTTTGTTCATCAGATTCCACATATGAGTGAAATCATATGGTGTTTGTCTGAGTGGCTTGTTTCACTCAGCATAATGTTCTCCAGGTCCACTCGTGCTGGGTCACAAAGGGCAAAATTTTCTTCCTTTTTGTGGCCAAGCAGAATTCCAACGTGTAAATGTCCTATAGTTGTTTTATCCACTCATCTACCAACAGACACTTGGGCTCTTTCCATATCTTGGCGATTGTATATAACACTGCAATGAACATAGGAGTGCTCATGTTCTTTCAAATTAGTGTTTTGTGTTCCTTCAGATATATTCCCAGACATGGGATCGCTGGGTCAAAAGGCAGATCCACTTTTAATTTTTTGAGGTATCTCCCTACCACTTTTCATGGTGGCTGCACCAGTCTGCATTCCCACTGACAGTGTACGAGGGTTCCTCTTTCTGCACATGCTCACCATCTCGTGTTGTTTGTTGATTTATTGATGACAGCCACTCTGACTGGTGTGAGGTGATATCTCTTTGTGGTTTTAATGTGCATTTCTCTGATGATTAATGATGTTGAGTATCTTTTCATAAGTCTATTCACCATCTATATGTCCTCTTTGGAGAAGTGTCTATTCAGTCCTGTGCCCATTTTTTAATTGGATCGTTGGGGTTTTTTGGTGTTGAGTTTGTTCTTTTGTGCCCTGTGAGACAGGGCTACTCCCTGCCCATTTCAAGTTGATGTTTCAAACAGCTTTACGTAAAATTTAGAGTTCTGTGGCCACTTATGTTGAAAGCTAAAATGTCTTTGTTTCAACAGGCTGAAATGGTTTTACTGACAACTGCTTTTGGGAAGCAGTGGACATGCCTGCATCTTGGCTGAGGAGCCAGCTGAACTGCAGCTCTGGAGTCTGGAAACCTGGACGTCCATAGCGAATTGCAGTGGCGGTCTCTTGTAATTAGAATTTAATTTAAGCAACTCATCAAGCAAGGAGTGCAGTTGTATGTGCAAGGGATGAAAACTTGAATGCGAAATTAAAAACTCTACCTGTGAGAAATACACCATCATACACTCACTTCTATCAGAACATCATTTCCATTTTTGGTCCCCATCCACCCGGTGCTCAGTCCTGAGCTCAGTTGCAGAGACTTTTATGAGGACAAGACCTAAAGGGATGAAGCATGTGATAGTTTAGGTCACCATCCATTTAAAATAAGTACTTCAATGACGTTTATGAAATAGATATAAATTGCATTATTCATTATGTATTTGACATGAGCAGATTGATAAACTCAAGTATGTTCAAGATAAACTTTTGAAACAGTGCAATTTGTCATTAACTTCTGTATATTAGCATAACAGAATTTCAAATCTACTTTATATTTGCACTCAAGTAACTAGAGAGACTACTTTTACCCTTCTGCTGTTGTTTAACTCTTTTCTCTGTTTGCTACTTACTGAGGTTCTGTCAGGTGTGAATAATAAGCCATGTAAAATATACATACCCTTTAGAACATGATGTCAAACTCATTTTCACCAGTGGCCACATCAGCCTTGCTGTTGCCTTCAAAGAAGTATTTGAAGTCATGAAAGGCAAGAACTTACCTCCAAGATTACTCTATTCTGGAAAGCTATCATTTAGACTGGAAGGGCAGATAAAGTGCTTCCCAGATAAGATCAAGTTGAAGGAGTTCATCATCACCAAGCCCTTATTATATGAAATATTAAAGGGACTTATTTAAGAAAAAGAAAATAAAAATATGGACAGTAAAATGCCAACAAACTCACAGTTACTAACAACCAAACCTAAAACAAAAACAAAAACAAACTAAGCAAATAACTAGAACAGGAACAGAATCACAGAAATGGAAATCACATAGAGGGTTATCAGTGGAAAGTGAGGGGACAAGAGGGGGAAAAAGTACAGTGAATAAGAAGCATAAATGGTAGGTAGAAGATAAATAGGGGAAGGTTAAGAATAGTATAGGAAACGTAGAAGCCAAAGAACTTATATGTACAGCCCATGGATAGGAACTAAAGGGGGGAAATGAGGGTGCAAGGGGGTGTGCAGGGCAGAGGGGAATAAAGAGGGGGAAATGGGACAACTGTAATAGCATAGTCAAGAAAATATATTTAAAAAATAAAAAAATATGCACAAGAAAATCTCCAGCATGAAACCTCACAAACCACTTTTTACACATTTGATCAGTCACAGCACCTTCTCTATACACTGCACAAATCTTTTTCTGCATTTCAGTTGCATTTTTACCTTTCTTAAAATAATAAAGCATGGTACATTTACACAATAGAATTCTATGCAGCAGAAAGAAAGAAAGAAGGAGCTCCTACCCTTTGCAACAGCATGGATGGAGCTGGAAAACATTATGCTAAGCAAAATAAGCCAGGCAATGAAAGACAAACGCCATATGATCTCACCTTTAACAGGAACCTAAACAACAAAACAAAGAAACAAATAAAATATAACCAAAGACACTGAAATAGAGGACAGGCTGACAGTGACCAGAGGGGAGAAGGGAGGGAATTTCAGGGGAGAATGGGAAGGGTTTACAAGAACAAATTTAAAGGACACATGGACAAAAACTAGGGGTGGGTGGTAATGGGAGGGAAGTGGGGAGGGTTGGGTGGGTGGGCTAGAATGGGAGTAAAAGGCAGAAAACTGTACTTGAACAATGATTAAAATAAAAAAATAAAATAAAAACAATAAAATAATAATAATAATAAAGCATAATATGCAAAAATGTTGTGTATTTTCTTCCATCTTCAATATTCAAGGGCTATAAGAAAATTCACCTATTTTAATGTTTTTTTAAATGCATGATGATGACAGATGACTCAATACAATCTAATGAACTTGTTTCAAATGAAATTAAAGACAACTAAGCACTACTAGAGCCACCTTACAGAAAAAAAAATCGGCATTTTGGCCAACCCAATATTTAGAAGAAAACATAGGTATATGAGGTCTGTCCAAAAAAAGTCCACCCATTGTTAATATAACAAGAACAGTTTGCATGGCATTAGTGTAACCTGGAAGCCAAAGAGAATAGACTGGAATGTGTACTTGTAAACAATGATGACTTTACTGTACTAATCATTGGAGGCAGTAGACACTATTGAGTGAGCATATGTACTGTGTGGCCAGCACATTCAAAATGACTGAGCAAATAGAGCAATGAATCTGCATCAAATTTTGTGTTAAGCTTGAACATTCCTCCACAGAAATTATTTTGATCATTCCAAAGGCCAAAGCAATGGGCAACTGGTGATTGGCAGCTTCATCATGACAACATGCCAGCTGGTGCATCACATCTTGTGCAAAGTTTTTGGTGAAACATCAAATTGCCCAGGTGACTCAGCCCACTTACAGCCCAGATTTGGTGCCCTGTGACTTCTGGCTTTTCCCGAAACTAAAATCACCTTTGAAAGGGAAGAGATTTCTGACTGCCAAAAAGATTCAGTAGAGTATGACAGAGCAGCTAATGGCAATTTGGAGAACTGTGTAAGGTGCCAGCATTGAAGGGGACTGAGCTATCATTGTCCTATGTACAATGTTTTTTGTATCTTGTATTTTCTTCAAAAAATGTCTCTCTTTTTCATATTGCATGGCTGAATACTTTATGAACAGACCTCATGAATCATCCAGACATTGGGTTAGGCAATGCATTCTTAGATATTACATAAAAAACTCAAAGAACCCTTCCCAAAATAAAATTTTATTAAAATTTTGAACTTGGGTATCAAAAGACACTGTCAGGAAAGTAGAAAGATAATCTACAACATAGGTGAAAAATTTTGCAAATCATATATTTGATAATAGAATATTTATCCTAAACAAGGGATACTTAAAACAATCCAAAAAAAAAGACAAATAACCTAATTTAAATACACATATAGCAAGTGAATAGATAGTTCTCAAAAGAAGATACACTGATGGACAAAAATATGAAAAAATGCTTACAATCATTTGTCATTAGAGAATGCAAACCAAAACCATGAGATATCACTTTACATTTACATGAAATATCCAGAACAGGGACACACGTGGAGACAAAAATTACATTAGTCATTTCCATAGGATGCATGTGGGATGTACTAGACGTTATGGCATTTTATTCGAAGGTGAGGATAATGTTCTGAAGTTAGTGGTGATGATTTTATAAAATTTTGAATATATAAATACCCACTAAGTTATACATCATAAAGGGCTCAGGTTTATGGCATGTAATTATGCATAAATGAAGAGAAAATTCCAGTTCTTTCCTTAAACTAAAGACATAGAGGAATCTCTTTCCTTACATTCACAGAGTATCTACTTTGTACATGCCATTATTCCACAAACACTTCTAATGAAGTGACTGTCCTTTTGTCATTGTACATTCCTGGGTCCTTGCCATCTGCACCTCTGTTCAT